CCACCGCACTCCAGCCTGGGCGACAGACAGAGACTCTGTCTCAAAAAATCCACACACACACACACACACACACACACACCTGAAAGTATAAAACTCCTAGAACATAGGAGAAAACCTAAATGAACTTGGATTTGGCAATGACTTTTTAGATACAACACCAAAGGCAAGATTTATGAAAAATGAATTGAGAAGATGGACTTCATTAAAATAAAATATTTCTGCTCTGTGAAAGACACTTCTTTCCCTCTGTCTCATAAACAAAAAACTCAACACTAAGAAAATGAACAAGACAATTAAAAAATGGCCAAAGACTTAACAAACACCTCACTGAAGAAGATACTCAGATGGCAAGTAAGCATATAAAAAGATGCTCTGCATCATATTAGGGAAATGTAAATTAAAACAACAGTGAAATACCACAACACACCCATTAGAAAGGCCAAAATCCAGAACACTGATAATCTCAAATGGCTGCAAGGATGTAGAGCAACAGGAACTCTCATTCATTGCTGGTGGGGATGCAGGACACAGTCACTTTGGAAGACAATCTGGCAGCTTCTTGCAAAACTAAACACACTCTTTCCATACAATCCAGCAATCATACTCCTTGGTATTACCCAAAGGAGTTGAAAACATATGTCCACACAAACACCTGTATATAGATGTTTATAGCAGGTTTATTCATAATTGCTGTTGTGGGCTGAATGTTTGTGGACCCTTGAAATTCGTATGTTGAAATCTAATCACCCATGTGATGGTATTTGGAGTTCGGCCTTTGGGAGGGAACTAGCTTATAAGAATAGAGCATTCAAGAATGGGATTAGAAGACGCTAGAGAGCTAGCTTGTCTTCTTTCAGCCATGTGAGGATACAAGTCACTTGTCTGCAACTGGAAAAATGGCCTTTACCAGAACTTGACTATACTGGCACCATGATCTTGGCCTTCCAGCCTTCAGAACTGTGAGAAGTAAATGTTTATTGTTTAAGCCACCCCGTTTATGGCCATTTGTTAGAGCAGTCTGAACTAAGACCACTGTCAAAACCCGGAAGCAACCAAAGATGTCCCTCAGTAGGTGAATAAACTGTGGCACATCCAGGCAATAAAATATTATTCAGAGTTCAAAAGAAATATGCTTTCAAGCCATGAAAAGACTCAGAAGAAACTTAAATGCAGCTTGCTAAGTGAAAGAATTCAATATGAAAATGTTGTATGATTCAAGCAATATGACATTCTAGAAAAGGCAAAACTACGAAGACAGTAAAATCTTAGTGGTTGTCTGGGAATATAGCAGGGGAGAATAGGTAGAGTACAGGAGTTTTGGAGCAGTGAAACTATTTCATATGCAACAGTAATAGTAGACACCAGACATTATGCCATAGCACTGTATAACACCAAGAGTGAACCCTAATGTAAACTGTGGGCTTTGGATGATAACAATGTGTCAATGTAGGTTCATCCATTGCTTTTTTGTCATTGTTGCTGTTTTGAGACAAGGTCTCGCCTTGTTGCCCAGGTTGGAGTTGGAGTGCAGTGGTGCAGTCTTAGCTCACGGTGACCTCCACCTCCCGGGTTCAAGCAATTCTCATGTCTCAGCCTCCTGAGTAGCTGGGACTATAGGTGCGCACCACCACATCCAGCTAATTTTTTTTTTTTTTGTATTTTTAATAGAGACAGGGTTTCGCCACATTGGCCAGGCTGGTCTTGAACTCCTGGCCTCAAGTGATCCGCCTGCCTTGGCCTCCCAATGTGCTGGGATTACAGATGTGAGCCACTGCTCCTTGTCACTCAAAAAAATTTATTTAAAAAGATAAAAAAATTCTAGTTATCACTTTCCCTGACACCCACCACCAGCTACAGCCCTATTTCCCTGTTTCCCTGTATTGCAAAACTCTTCAAAAGACTTGTCCATATTTGCTACCCCAATTCTTCTACTATTCTCACTTTGACCTTTCTAATCAATCTCACTAGTCCCTATGCCTATGCAGATTGCTTTTACCAGTTGCCAAATTTAATGGACAGTTGTTATTCTGCATCTTACTTGATTTATCAACAGCTTCTGACACAGGTGACCACTCCTTCCTCCTGAAAACATTTTCTTCCTTTAGCTTCCAGGGTACTCTCCTCTCCTGGGTTTCCTACTACTTTACTGATGATCGCCCCCAGTCACCTTTGCTGGTTCCTCATCTTCTCCCTAATCTCTAAACACTGGAGTTCCCCTGGCCTCACTTCATCCCTATTTCATTCTCTCCTTTGCTGATCTCATCCAGTCTCCTGTTTTTAAAAAATATCATCTAAATGCCAAGAGTTCTAAATGAGTCTGATTCTCTAGCTCAAACTTCCCCCTTGAACTTCGACTGTGTATCTAGCTGCCTGCCTGTTCAATAATTCTATTTGCCTGGCAACTGACCAGGTAAATTTGACTGATATCAAACTTTACCAAAGCTTATCTCTCATTGTACCCCTAAAACCTGTTCTACTTGCAGTCTCTCCAATCTCAGTTAGTAGCAATTTCATTTTTCCAGTTGCTTGAATCAAAATCTCTAGGATCATCTTTAAATCCTTTCTTTCACACCTTAAATTCAGTGCATTTCTCTATGTCCTCAGCATAACCACCTCTCACTCTCTCCACTGCCCTCTCCCTGATCTGAAGAACCCTCATCTCTTGCCTGGCCTATTACAATAGTGGCCTAACTGGTCTCCCTGCTTCTATTCTTACTTGCTACTGTTTATTCTCAGCACAGAACTGAAAATGATCCTTTTAAAATAAAAGTTATATCAAGTCTCTGCTCAAAACCCTACAGTGGCTCCCCATTTAATTGAGAGCAAAGGCCTTTCAACAGCCTACAAAGCTCTTTGTAACCTGCATTCTCACCCCTACTGCACTCTGACCACACCACCTGCTATTCTTCACTCATGTTCAGCTCCAGCCTCACCAGTCTCCTGTTTCTTTTCCTTATGCCACAGCCTTTCACTAGCTGCTTCCTCAGATGTCCACATGGCTAATGCCCTTACATCTTTCAAGTCTTTATTTGAACATCATCTTTTCATTGAGGCCGACTCTGACCACCTTAGCTAAAAGTGTAACCCCTAACTCTAGTGGAACTCTCCATGCTCCTCTTAACCCAATACATTTTTTCCTTGCATTTATCATCCTATAATATACTATATAACTTATTTCCTTGTATATTATATGTCTTCCCTACCCACCTCCAAACAATAAGCTCCACTGGGAGAAAGATCTTTGTTTTATTCGCTACATGTCCAAATCACCTAGAACACTGCAGGCTCTCAAAAAATATTTGTTAAGGGCCTGGCATAGTGGCTCATGCCTGTAATCCTAGCACTAAGGGGCCAAGGTCACACCACTGTGCTCCCATCTGGGAGACAGAGCAAGACTCCGTCTAAAAAGAAAAAAAAATTTTGTTAAGGCTGGATGCTATGGTTCATCCCAGCACTTTGGGAGGCTAAGGTGAGCCGATTGCTTGAACTTAAGACTTTGAAACCAGCTTGGGCAATATGGCAAAATCCTGTCCCTACAAAAATTACCTGGGTGTGGTGGCAGGTGCCTTGGGAAGCTGAGGTGGGAAGATTGCTTGAGCCCAGGAGGTGGAGGTTGCAGTGAGCTGAGACTGTGCCCCAGCCTGGCGACAGAGTGAGACTGTCTCAAAAAATTTTGTTGTTATTGTTGTTAAAAAGTAGTACTATTTCCCGTTATGTGGAAATGGCACTCCTAGAAATTATGTATCAAATACTTGATGGAATGGCTTTAGGCTACAAAAAGACTCATAGGATGAGAATGTGGCTCAAGAGTCTATATCTGAGAATCACTCTAGAACTCAGATGCCTCTTGACCGCCCTCCTCTCCCCAACCATCCCATCCTTGCCAGTTATAATTACCTATAAAGTCACTGAAGAGGCTCAGTCTAAAAGCACAATGACCTGCCTAGGCTCCTGCAGCTCACCAAACTCAGTTTTGGCCTCACTTCTAAGACCAAGCTAGTGACCTAGTATCCAGGTCATCATCTCAGCCTTCCTGCTAGTCCAGCTTTAACTGTCTTTTGCTTCCTTCCAGACCTCCTGCCTCCTGGATTCTGCTCACCAGGCCTCCCTAGATCTCCTATCTGTTAACCTGGACCTCTGCTCTCAGATACCTTGACCCCTTCAACTCTCCTTTCCCACTACTCCCTTACCTGAATGTCCTGATCCCCTCTTAATGTTAATTCTGAGACCTTTCTGAAGAGCGAGCCAAGCCCTGGTCCTTTTGGTCTCTCTATTTAAGACTGAATAAGGACTATCTCAGACCTGGCTGAGCCTTGAGCCTGAAAATAATTAACATGAACTTTTAGTTCTTCAAAGGGCATAGTCAATCTTCCTAACAGTGTCAAAATGCTCTTAGCTAAGATAGTTGAAGTTGGTTGTCAAAAATAATCCATGTCAAACACTTGTGTTTTATGCAGCAGACCTATCTGCTTTATTTGGATCCTTTCACTTGGGTGATACCAGAATATACTTTGCATTCTGGTGCCTCAAAAAAGAAATCAGATTTCTCAGGAAACTGGGCCCAAATAAAAAGAAAACAATGGGTCGGGTGTGGTGACTCACACCTGTAATCCCAGCACTTTGGAAGGCTAAGGCGGGTGGATCACATGAGATCAGGAATTGGAGACCAGCCTGACCAACATGGTGAAACCCTGTCTCTCTAAAAATACAAAAATTAGCAGGGCATTGTGGTGTGTGCCTGTAATCCCAGCTACTTGGGAGGCTAAGGCAGGAGAATCACTTGAACCCGGGAGGCGGAGGTTGTGGTGAGCTGAGATTACGCCACTGCACTCCGGTCTGGGCAACAGAGTGAGACTCCATCACACTCACACTCACACACACAGACACACACACAAATGATGGCTACTGGAGTCAGCCCAGGACTGGAAGTTATATAATCCTTGGATCCAATTTTTACCCTTACTAATCCTGGTATATCCCATAGGATTAAAGCCACATACCTAGAAGCATCAAGGAATGGTCTATAGGCCAAGCTGATCCATTCTTCTTTATTGGATGAATATTTTGGCTCCCGGGGTGTTTCTCTCATGGTGTCCAAATCCACTAAATAATGGCATTTGCTGATATCAATCTGAAACGGAGAAAGGCCAACTCTTCATTAGTAATTTCAATTCTCTATATCTTCAGGATAGAGAACAGCAATTGCAATCCTAAAAATTCACAGAGCTTTGGAGGAACAAACATCCAAGTCCTCAGACAATGTTGCCTGTGCTCTCTCCACTCAGGTAAGAGTATTCAGGCTCTTGGGAGAGAGAGATGCACTCATTCAGCCAAATATATATGTAAGCTTTGGCTGGTCTGATTCTAGGTTGGGTTCTTAAGTTCTTCCAGTCCCATAGACGCTTCCAAAGTCACCATGAGCCCACAATCTTCCTCTGGAAAACCTATCTTCTTCTGCTCACTACTGCACCCTTTCAGTCCATCACCTCTTTATTCCACAGATTCAAAGGGCATGACTAAACACAGATGCTAATATGTGAGAAGGCCTGCCTCTCCTGACAGCCAGGGAAGGTTACACTACACCTCACAGGGGGTACAGAAATATCATGCATATCATCTCCTTCAAATATTCTTTTTTTTTTTTTTTTTTTTTTTGAGATGGAGTTTCGCTCTTGTTGCCCAAGCTGGAGTGCAATGGCTAGATCTTGGCTCACTGTAACCTCTGCCTCCTGGGTTTGAGCAATTCTCCTGCCTCAGACTCCCAAGTAGCTGGGATTACAGGCATGCGCCACCATGCCCAGCTAATTTTTTGTATTTTTAGTAGAAATGGGGTTTCACTAAACCCCATTTGAGACCCAGTTAACCAGGCTGGTCTCAAACTCCTGACCTCAGGTGATCTGCCCGCCTTGGCCTGCCAAAGTGTTGGGATTACAGGCATGAGCCACTGCGCTGGCCTCCTTCAAATATTCAACAGAATTGACAGAGACATTGGAACGGCCCCTGAATCAAAAGTTTAGTGAAACTGAGATATCAAAACTCTGCTTTTGTTAATACTATATATTATATTAATACTATATATTAAATTAATAGTGTGTATTAACAAAAGCAGAGTCAGCCAGTTGCTGATAACATGGATACATCAGAATATTATAGATGCTCAAAGGAGAATATGAAAATATTTCATTTAAGGCCAGGTGTGGTGGCTCACGCCTGTAATCCCAGCATTTTGGGAGGCTAAGACAGGCAGATCACAAGGTCAGGAGATCAAGACCATCCTGGCTAACACAGTGAAACCCTCTCACTACTAAAAATATGAAAAATTAGCCGGGTATGGTGGCATGTACCTGTAGTTCCAGCTACTCGGGAGGTTGAGGCAGGAGAATTGCTTGAACCCGGGAGGTAGAGGTTGCAGTTGCAGTAAGCCGAGATGGTGCCACTGCACTCCAGCCTGGGCGAAAGAGCAAGACTACCCTCTCCAAAAAAAGAAAAGAAATAAAACTTCATTTAAAACAATGCTGGGCCAGGCACAGTGACTCTTGCCTATAGTCCCAGCACTTTGGGAGGCTGAGGTGTACAGATCTCTTGAACCCATGAGTTCAAGACTAGCGTGGGCAACATGGCCAAAGCCCATCTCTATAAAAAATACAAAACTTAGCTAGGTGTGGTGGCATACACCTGTAGTCCCAGCTACTCAGGAGACTGAGGTGGAAGGATCACTTGAGCCGTGGAGGTCAAGGCTGAGGTGGGCCAAGATCATCCCACTGCATTTCAGCCTGGGCAAAAGAGTGTGACCTGCTTCAAAAATATATTTCTAAAACAATTAAAAAAATAAGGAGTCCTCTTAGATTGTTAGGCATCAGCTAAGATAAAGACTATTTGAAACATGTATAGATATACTTGACACTGAAGGACTGAAAGCTTTTCCTCTGGGATCCAGAATAAGTCAAGGCTGCTTGCTATCACTACTTGGTTCAACATTTTACTAGAGGATCTGGTCAGTAGAGTAAGACTAGAAAAAGAAACACAGGGCAGAAGAAAGGGAAAGCTCATTCATCACAATGATATAATTGGTCCAAAAGACTCTACAAATAAAACTTGGAATTATTAGGAGTGTTTAGCAAATTTTAAACTTATAGGATGTCAATCAATGTCATATATTCCATAGCAATAAACAAAATGAAATTTTATAAAAATATACTTTATAAGCATTTGAAAATGTTTACCTTGAAATAAATCTAATAAAAGATGAAAGTGCTCTATAAAAAAGTATAAAATCTTATTGGCCAGGCACGGTGGCTCACGCCTGTCATCCCAGCACTTTGGGAGGCCAAGGTGGGCGGATCAACTAAGGTCACGCATTCGAGACCAGCCTGGTCAACATGGGGAAACCCCATCCCTACTAAAAATACAGAAATTAGCTGGTTGTGGTGGCACACATCTGTAATCCCTTGGGAGGCTGAGGCAGGAGAATCGTTTGAACCTGGGAGGAAGAGGTTGCAGTGAGCTGAGATCACGCCACTGCACTCCAGCTTGGGCGACAGAGTGAGACTCTGTCTCCAGAAAAAAAAAAAAGGATAAAATTTTATTGACAAACATCCATCAACTTATAGATTTATGTATACATATGATTAAAATGTGGTATGTCCATACACATTTTAATACTTAGCCATAACAAGGAATGAAGTTCTGATACATGCTATGCCATAGGTAAACCTTAAAAATATTGCTGTGACTGAAAGAGTCCAGACACCAAAGGCCACATATACATGATTCCATTTATATGAAATGTTCATAATAGGCAAATCCTCCAAGACAGAAAGCAGAGGTTACTATGAACTGGGGAGTGACTGCTTAATGTATATTTAATGGGTATGGGGTTTTTTGGGGGAGGGGCATAATAAAAATCTTCTAAACCTAGATACTGGTAAGAGTTGCACATTATAAATGTATTAAAAGTCATTGAATTGTATACTCTGAAATGATTAAAATTATAAATTTTATGTTGTGCATATTTTACAATACAAAAATTGAAATGGTGAATTTTATTTCAAATAATTTTTTTGATACACAATAAAGTAGACCTTATTAATGAAGTAATATACGTTATTCCTGGATGAAAACCTTACTATTATAAAGATGTCAATTCTAAACGAATTGATTGATAAATTAAATACAATCTCAATCAAAATTCCAACAGTTCCAACAGAGTGTTTTTGAAATTCAACAAGCCAATTCTAAAATGTGTATGGAAAGGCAGAAGAACAAGAATAGCCAAGGCACTCTTAAGAAAGAAGAACAGGCTGGGTATGGTGGCTCACATTTGTAATCCCGTACCTTGGGAAGCCAAAGTCGGAAGACAACTTGAGGTCAGGAACTTGAGATCAGCCTAGGCAAACAGTGAGACCCTGTTTCTACAAAAATTTAAAAATTAGCAGGTTGTGGTGGTGTGTACCCATAGTCCTAGCTACTAAGGAGACTGAGGCAGGAAAACTGCTTGAGCCCAGGAGGTTGAGGTAGCAGTAAGCTATGATCATGCCATTGCATTCCAGCCTGGGTGACAGAGCAAGATCTCATCTCTAAAAAGAAAAACAGCAACAACAACAAAGTGGGGGCTTACTTACTATAAAGCTATAGAAATTAATACAGTAGTCCATGTGCAGCGGCTCACGCCTGTAATCCCAACACTTCTGGGAGGCCAAGGCAGGTGGATCACCTAAGGTCAGGAGTTCAAGACCAGCCTGGCCAACATGGCGAAACACCATCTCTACTAAAAATACAAAATTAGCCGGGCATTGTGGTGGGCACCTGTAGTTGCAGCTACTCAAGAGGCTGATACAGGAGAATTCCTTGAACCTGGGAGGCGGAGGCTGCAGTGAGCCAAGATATCACCACTGCACTCCAGGCTGGCAACAGAGCAAGACTTTTGTTTCAAAAAAAAAAAAAAAAAAAAAAGAATACGGTGAGGTATCAGTGCAGGAACACATCAACAGACCAATGAAATAGAACAAAGAGCCTAGATCAGATGCAAGTACATGCAAACCCTTATTTATGACAGAAGTAACACCATAAAGAAGCAGACGGTCCTTTCACCTACTGGTGCTGGGACAACTGGATATCCATTAGGGGAAAAATGAAATTGAACCTCAACCTCACACCATATAAAAATCAACGTTAGATGGATTATAGGCCTAAAAGTGAAAAGATAAGCCTCTTAGAAGATAATATAAAAGAATATCTTCAAGATCTTGGGTAAAAGAGTTTGTAGATAAAGCATTAATTATGAAAAGAATGACAGATAATTTGACAATATTAAAATTGAGAATACCTTTTCATCAAAAGACACATTAAAAGGCCAGGTGCAGTGGCTCACGCCTGTAATCCCAGCACTTTCAGAGGCTGAGGTGGGAGGATCACTTGAGGCCAAGAGTTTGAGACGAGCCTGAGCAAAATAATGAGATCCCATCTCTACAAAAAGTAAAAAAATTAGCTAGGCATGGTGGTGCGCACCTGTGGCTCCAGCTACTTTGGAGGCTGGGGTGGGAGAATTGCTTGAGTCCAGGAGGTAGAGGTAGCAGTGGTCAAAAGACATTAAGAATAAAAAAAAACAAAAACACAAAATGAGAGAAGACATATGTAATACATTTAACCATTGAGGATTCATATCCAGAATATATAGAACTCCTGTTAATCAACAAGACAAAGACAAACCACCCAAAAGAAAAACAGGCAATGGCCAGGCACGGTGGCTTATGCCTGTAATCCCAGCACTTTAGGAGGCCAAGACGGGTGGATCACGAGGTCAGAAGTTCAAGACCAGCCTGGCCAATATAGTGAAACCCCATCTCTACTAAAAATACAAAAATTAACCAGGCATGGTGGCACATGTCTACAGTCCCAGCTACTTAGGAGGCTGAGGCAGGAGAATCGCTTGAACCCAGGAGGTGGAGGTTGTAGTGAGCCGAGATTGCACCACTGCACTCCAGCTTGGGCAACAGAATAAGATTTCATCTCAAAAAAAAGAAAAGAAAAGAAAAACGATCAAATGACTTAGGTACTTCATCAGAAGAAACCTAAATGGCCAAAACAAGTGATAATGCGTTCAACCTCATTAGTAACCAGCAAATGCAAATG